TCCGCCGCCGCCGCCGTCCTCCTCCTCCTCTCCGGCTTCCCCCTCCTCTGCAAATTATCATATTCTCAGCGCTAACCAAGAAACTATACGGACTGATGATCATAGACAAAATAAAATTGCAAGAAAACGTGCTAAATATGGTCACATTCTCAGTACTAAATAAATTTGCCAAGAAAATGTCTCAATGCAGACAGAATATTAATCATGTGAACTGCTCTGAGAATATGATAATTCGAAACATACCGTAACGGAGGAAGAAGGAGAAGGGCTGTTTTGAGGGACAAGAAGAGCGAGGGGTGCAAGGTCTTCATCATGCCTCGTCTTCAAAATCAGCGGAGATGGGCTCGCGTTCTTGATGGCGAGCAATGTGGACGGAACGATGGAGGGTTTGGTGACGGTGAAGAGCCTGAGAGCAGTTGGGAGAAGGAAGAAGATGACGGGCAAGACGATCTTTAAACAAGAGAGAGAATCAAAGAAACCCATTTCTGACCGGAGAGAGAAACGCACAATTGGAACGGAGAGGATGCAGAGAGAGAGAGGGAGAATTAGTTTGATGAGTTTCTTGGGTTTCCTTATTCTTTTCTTGGAAGTGGGATTTGAAAGGAGAAGACTCTGAGGGGTTTATTTTAAAATTTATTTTATTTTATTTTTTAAGAGAGAGAGAGAAGATGAACCAAGAAGGGAGAAGTATATATGCTTCCTTCTTGACAGGGGAGAGGGATGGAGATTGGAGAGGAGGGAAAGACAGGAAGGTATGAAGTTGGTTGATGGGTCTGCCATCGGTGTTTGATATATTTACATATATACCATTTCCTTTTTTGAAGTTTTTATGGGCTTCTATTTGATAATGATTTATGTCTATTGATAGCGTATATGAGAAATTATGATGCAATCAACTGGGGATTTGAAATCTCCTGGTAAGTTTTCTGGGGCAAATTTTCATGTGGGTTGAGGAGTTGAACTGGGAAATGCAATTAATATTCATAATTTGAGGGTGCATGCTCTTTTATTTGGAAAATGATACATGCTAAAGTCCAGGAGGAATGGATTCTAGTTTTATTTTGAAGTAAATTTCAACGGTTATTTGAGGGTGCATGCTCTTTTGGAAAATGATACATGCAATTAATATTCATAATTTTCATGCTCTTTTATTTGGAAAATGATACATGCAATTAATATTCATAATTTGAGGGTGTATTTCATTTAAATTATCATGTGGGTTGAGCAGTGGAAGTAAGGAAATGTAATTAATTTTCACAACTTGGGGAAATTTTTGGATTCTAGATAGAAATGAAATACACCTTGAAGATCTGTTTGATTTTGGAGGTTTTTTTTTCCGATAAAGAAGGGAATATTATTATTATTTTTAACTCTTTCTAAAAAAATCTTTTTAATTTTGAAGATATTTGCACACTGTGATATATAGGTACGGAATAATTTAAATAGAGAGAGATATTTTTTTATCACTGTGCAATGAACCAAAGAAGTAGCAAAATTAAATATATTGCATTGAATTTACAATGGTTCGCAAAACCCATTTAACGTTTATGTTTAAATGCCGTTCGGTATATTATTTAAGCGAATATCTCTATTAGAAAGGATAGATTGTGGAGAACAAGATGGGGAAAATGCAATATGATTAATTCAGTCCTCATTATCTAATATATGCAGAAAATTGATATCTATTTGTTTAAAATGCGAATATAAATATGATAGTGGTATATTATTCAAAAA